TAATAATAATAATAATAATAATAATAATAATAATAATAATAATAAAAATAATAATAATAATAATATAACAATAAAAAAAATATACTTACATCGTATCTTCCAAGTGTGGAAGAGGTTTGTCGTGCTTTGACTGTCTCAGTTAAAGCCCATAGCCGATGAAGTCCTTCAGATATGCTATCAACTTCAACATTCTATTAATAAAAACGTACACCTTGAAAATAAGGGGTTGTTAGTAAAAAAACAGACCTATATTGTGGCAACAATCAGGGTCCCGGTGGGGTTCATGCAGAGAGATTTTATAGTTTAGGATCGTCCAAGTTCGGCTGAGTTCCCACTATCAAATATCATGTGAAAAATTTAGTAATGTGCCCATATATGGGTACGATGATGTCATAATACACCCAAATATGGGCATATCAGATTTTTTATCGCATTTGATAGTGTGGACATAACTTAAGACCACCAAATTTGGGATTCTATTTTACAATAGTTTTGTTTGGAATATCAATTATGATTTTTTTAGTTTGACGAAGGCGGTTCATGCTTGCCCACCGCCGCTTGAGATGGTTTACTTTTTCGGACACTATTGCTTGCTTGAGAGAACCCAGTACAAGCATGCCTGCACTCACCTCAATTTTTTTTCTGGCTGCAGAATTTGAGGTCAGATGCTGTTCAAGCCATTTTGAAATAGATTTTTTTTGGCCAGACTGAAATAAAAATTATTTTTATTCAGTAAATAAATATATAAATATATATATATATATATTGAAGAGTGGGTTTGCATGTATGCTCCAAGTAAAATAAAATGCAAAAGCATTGAAAAAACGGTGTATAATCATTGAAAGTTGACTTGCGGAACACAAATTTATTAAGCTATAACAAAATCAAACTGATATTTCGATAGCTCCTGCTATCTTCATCAACGTTAAAGTGAGAAAACTTGGGAGATCTTACATATACATAAAGAATAATAAACCAATCAGAATCAAGTTATCAATACAATTAGTTGATTGGACCACAAAATATAAGTTCAGTGACAAGTTAATGGGCGAATTAATTACTGTACAATTAAACCATGATAAGATGTCTGCAAAATTATTATGTAAGCGATAGTTTATTGGCAGTGCCATTGAACCAGCTTAATGCTAAGACTTATTTAACTACAGTAAACAATAACAGGAAATAAAACATAGTAAGATTAATAAGGTCCTATATAATTAAAACAATTGTGCAATAGAAAATAAATAGCAGAAATATATGGTACATGTATGAGTTTAAATAATATAATGCATGATATCATGATGACAAATAAAATACAGTTTAGAAATCAATGAATATAAAAAAATGTACATAAGTAGAAATAATATATAGCATATATAGTTAGATACTGTATTCATAGAGAAATATTGCGTATGAAGGCATAATCACATGTAGAGCCTAAGTCCTTATTTAGACCCTTAATGTGAGTTTTTAACCGGATTATCCATTTCATTTCTGCGTTACGTCGTTCTTGTGTTGATTTAAAATTGCAACCTATTATTATAGCCGGTGTACGGTAAGAATGGCCCCGGAAAAAATGGCCCCGGAAAAAATGGCCCCAGAAAAAATGGCCCCATATGACATGTAGGTAAAAATGGCCCCAAAAATCAAATTCTGTATTAAAACTGATTTTCTTGAGTCAATATATGCATTTTTGTATCTTAAATAATTTAGTTTTTAAAAGGAATCTAACATCAAACAAATTGCCATTCACATTTTACTTTTTGCAAGAATTAATATTCAATGATAAAATATTCAAAGATAAATAAAAAGCCATGAATTACACTTTTTATTTTTTTTTCCATTTAAATGTTAA